ATAAACGTATCTATGAAATATTTTTCACGCAACTACAATGAAATAGTAGTGGATACTGTTGGAATATCACAAAGGGAAGATTTATCAAATTATTCACAAATTTAATTTTCTAAAAAGTTACATGACAATATTTCGGAATAAACGGACGTTGATACCTAATTATTTAAATATAATATCAGATCTAGAATTATTAAACTACAGTAAATGTATTTAAGGTTATAAACATATGCTTTATACATCCATGAAATGATTTTATATTTTACTTCTTCTTTCACACAAGTACAATGAAATAGTTTTTTAAACAATGTCATTGCCTTGATTAGGTGGATTTTAAATACTTTTTTCAAACATAAAAATATTTTAAAAGTTTACATTTAGTAAGTAAATTTCATTTAATTTCCTTGAAAACATGTGATTTACGTTAAATATTATTAGTTTTCAAAAATTATTATTTATAATTTTTTTGCCACTCTCCGTTACCTTCTACAACTTTCTATATTAGATATTGTTTTTTTCTAAAATTCTCCGCTTTCCAACGATATATTATACGTATACCTTCTGACTAGTATTTCCGGAGATTCATTTTCGACCTGGATAAGCATTTTTATTTTTTTCTCCTTTATTCAATTATCAAATTCTTTCAAAAGTTATATTTAGCATTTTTTCGTAACTCTTAATAATGAGAGATAGTTAATTATTTAAAATAAACCATATTAAAGGTACTTTAGAGGAAGACGTATATGAACATTGGCATTTAAGCCCTGTAAAGTGACATCAATGGGGATAAGACCTAAATGATATTAAAGACCACTTAATTATACAATGATACACCGAGTTTAATCAAAATCGTTAGAGCCGTTTTTGAGAAAATTGTAAAAATGTGTTTCAGCGTTGATATAAAGTGGCACTTCCGGTTAGCCGATTTTAAGGAAAAAGTTGCTGTCACATCTAAGGCATATACCTATCTTAAATACGTAATATCAGTTTCGTACGACTTTTCGTTTTTGAGCTAGACTGCTAACATACTACACACGACACAGACACAAAGACCATTTTGCGGGACTTGGTTATTTGGACTCAGGGTACCCCAAAACATGTATTTCCGTTGAAAACTCAGATTAAAAAATTTTCACGATTACAATACTTAGCCTTATTATATATTACATATATACGAATGTGAAAGTAAAAAATATTTTACATAACTTATAACTACAGTGGTACAAAAATATTTTAGAAATTTCGTAACAACTTATAGAAAAATTAAATAGAGCAATTGAACTATAAAAAAATGAAAAATTATTTCACGTAGTAGTCTCAAGTGGGTATCACGAATTAACAGCAGCCTAGCCCTGTCATAAATATTGTTACAAGGAAATATATACAGGTTTCAACAGAAAAATTATTTTTTTCAAAAACTTTATTAGAAAATAAAATGTATATCTATAGAGAGTAAAACAAAAAAGAAATTACTCAAAATGTCCCCTTTTGCCTTGACACAAGCATTTAATCTCCGTGGCCAGTCATCAATAGCAGCACGCAGCACTTCTTGAGGAAAGCGCTCAACTGCTCGGACCAGAGATTGTTTGAGGCTTTCCAAGTTAGGGTGTGCTCTGTGGCATGCCATCCTCTCCAGTTCGGACCAAAGCCGATAATCTAGTGGGTTGAGATCAGGGCTTCCTGAGGGCCAATCCGAGGCAGAGATGAACTCTGGAATGTTCTTTTGCAGCCACTGCTGAGTTGACCTGGCCTTGTGAGCTGGAGCGGAATCCTGCTGGAAAACCCAATGACTTCCAGCAAACAGAGTATCATTTAGAGGCTTGACAACAGGTTCCAAAATATCGTCCTGATAGTTTTTAGCGGCTGTTTTAACTCCTTTTCACAAAAATGGAGCTTTGTGGTGCCATCAAAGCAAACTCCCCACCAAACCATCACTGAGGAAGGGTGATGACCTCTTTCCACTCTTCCAATGACTTCCTGGGCTTCTTTAGAGCTGTGTGCGTACACACGATCATTTTGGCGATTAAATTTTTCTTCAATTGTAAAATTTCTCATCGCTAAACAAAATCTTTCGATGAAGACCATTGGTGTAACGGCCAAGGAGCACTTTGCATCTATCCACTCTAATTTTTTTTTAGGGAAGTGGTTAGCCTTTGTCCTGTCATTCTTCGAAATGCACCCATCCTAAGGTCACTTTTTACTATGCGAGACATTGATCTGACAGAGATTCCCATTTCCCGAGACATGATTTGTTGTTTTCGAATGGGATTTCTTCTGATTCGAGCAGCCACTGCTCTCACTGCATTTGCCGTTCTCACAGTGCGGGGACGGTCGAGGTCTGTCACATACAGATAGGTCTCATTATATCTATTTATAGTGTGGTACACGAACATACGGCTGATACCCAAAGGTTTCAAAGTGTTGAAAATCTCTGACCTACATTTTCCAACTTTGTGTAAGGCGATCACAGCTATTCGGTTTTCTTTATCACCCCACTCCATGTTAACTGAGCGAAAGAAAAATACAAACTAATTGGGATTATTATCCTGACATGTAAAGAAAATAACCTGATAGAGGTAAGGATTATCTAAATAATACCCAAGGATGTAAACAAAGTTCAACTTTTGTAACAGTATTTATGGCAGAACTAGGTAAATAGATATGAATGTGTTTGAGACACTTTATTTTATTTTTATTCAACTTCAATTTTTCTTTATTTGTTGTCTACTTATATTTTTATTATAACATATTCATCTACATAAATTTAATTTCTGAAATACCCATACTACCTCACATGATAAATAATCAGAATTTTCAATGAAATATGTTTAAATTTAAATCATATTTTGAGTGGAAACTCTGATTATTTATCATCCAAGATATTGAATAAAGCATATTAGAAAATAAAATGAATCAGCCGTAATTAAATGTTGTGCCTTTCTGAGGTGATCAAGACATTAAAGGAAAATTTGAAATAGTGGTGATAAAACTCTCAAAAAAAAAAAAAAAAAAACTAGCATAAGCTAAATAAAAAAAAAATATATATATAATTAGTCAAGAAGAGTTAAAATTGATCAAAAAAAAAAAAAAAATCTGCAAGATATAGTCATAGGTACAATTAATATTTGAAATTTTACAACTAAACACAATTTTATGGGAATTCCAGATTCAAAGCTGACAAAATGAAAAACAGAGACTTTATTATTGTCAATAATATATAAGATGATGTAACAAGGGTATCCTAATCTCACATCACCAAACAACAAAATGAGTTATTAACAGAAAGTATTTATGCACTGTTACAGACTCTAGTTGATGCCTAAACTGCTAACATAGGTAGTGGGATAAAACACAGTAAGGCTAACATGGAGGTGACAAGCTAAGTCTTTGTTAATAGACAATATTCATTCTCAACATCTCTGTTTGTTCAGGTTTCAATCCATGCAGATTGAAATCAATAGTTATTCAAAGACTGTCCTTATAATGTGGCAGTAAAATTTCAATAACTAATTATCATACTTCTTATGTTTTTCCACAATTGATGAAATAAAGATTAACATTACCACTAAAGAAAATTATAAAACGCTAATGAATCATTTGACTTAAAAAACTATAATTTTCACCGTTACTAATTAAGACACATATGAGTGGTCTTAAGATGTTTTCTTCAACCATTACCATAATATCTATCAAAATAGACCTGGAAGAAATAGGCCATAATGAAAGACAAATCTTAGGTATTACACCCTACTGAAAAATATTTATTACTATTGTTTTTAGTAAATTTAGAGCCAGCTCGAAACAATATTGAAATATTGTAAGGTATAATATTTGAATATTCAACCGTCAAATGTGAAGAAAACCAAGTGTAATAGTACAATTCTCATGTCAATACTTGCGGCACATAAAGGCCAACTGCGATCATTAAGTGAGATGCATCAAATGTGCTGGCCACATGCATCTAATACCAGAAATCAAGGGAAGAGCTTTCAAAATGTGCTCTTTGTAGACTACCCATCAAACTACAGAGGCTACACAGTTTTTTAAAATCTCTATAAACAAAATCTCATAAAATGGTATTAAAAAGAGTGAGCCTGAATCAGAAAAGTTGAACCCCGGTATCTAAAATAGAAAATTCAACAATTTTCCCAGAATTGTTGAAAACACAGTCTTCCGCATGCAGTCAGCCTAGCTTCCTTCCAAATAAAAATTGGTCATAATTTTTTTTCTCACAGTATATCAATAACAATAATTATAAATGGTAACACATGTAAAATTAATAATTCTTAAGAGATTAACTTGCCATATCATATTCATTTCTTATTAGAGAAAAAATGTAGAGCAAGATTGAAGTGGAACAGGATCAGATACCGAACAGACAACACCATGGACTAACAAAGTAAAAGTAGATATCAGAAAATCTAACAAGTATCAACAAATCATGAATCATGAGTCATGGATGACTAATAAAAAGTTTCAGAGATTTAATTATTGTTATCATCCACTTGACATTAATTTCAAGCCTAAAAATCAGTAATTTGTCAATCAGTCAGATTGAAAAAAATCTTGAATGCATAAAGCTTCAAATTATAATTGAAAATGTCTAAGAAATAAAGTGAGCTTTCAGAAAAAATAGTTAAAAAATCATTATTACACCAATAATGTCTTAAGATAATGTTTAGCATCTCAGATTCAAATCAGTAAAGCAATTTAGTCACTTATACAAATCATTTAAGCCTTCCTGTGAATTATAAATAGTTGAAGAATATATTTACGCATACAAAAATTCATAAGTAAATGTGTTCACAACCGTCAATATTAAAGAAAAAAAAAAGTCAAAAAGTAAAATGATAGTTTTAAAATTACTAAGTACATTATTACTACTGTAAAACAAGAAAACTGATTTATTTGATTATTTTATTTTTAGAATACAAAAACAAAAAAAATATTCCATAATATTATTAACAATTAAATGTAAAAGTTTAAAATAAAATATAACTCACAAGTAGTTCTGAATGTTTGTTTCAATGTCTGACCATATTCCAGTTATTTGACCTATTTCATTATCAAAAGCAAGGAATTCTTTCACAAGTTCTCTATTTTCATCTGTGTCATTTGCTTTTCCAAGCTAAAAAAAATTATAGAAGATTATTCATGCACAAATTATATATATATAGATGGGACACCCTTTAGATTTATATCATATTTAGGATTAAATAATATATATTCTTTTCCAGTGGATCTCGAGTTTCATTCTATAAATAAACAATATTTTTCTGGTGTTTTGAGATTTTGTTGTCATATTTATGCTCTACAGGGAAAAAAGCATGTTTACAGATTTTTTTCAAAAAATATTACAAACTAAAATTACAAATAATAGTAAATTAAGTTTAAAGGAAACTAGTGACGACATTGTACTTACAATTTTTGAAAATTGATCTTCACTAAATCTAACTACTAAATTAACAGTACATTATACTGAACTAGATTTAATAAAAGACCAGTATTGCTAAGTAATAACAAAAGATAATCAGCAGATTTTTTTGTTATTGTTTTATTTATTTTTTAAACTTCCATTATTATTTTATTTCTCTCTATTCCCATTCAGTCTTACATTAATGGTTTTATTTTAATAGTTAAGAGTTGGGAATATCAACTATATATCAAGTACAATTTTGTCACTATTTTCCTTTAAACTTAATTCAGTCTTATTTATACTATTAGTGTGTGATAATTATTTTTTGAAAATTCTCTATAAACCTCCTTTAATATCATTGTATGACATGATATATGAGGAAAATAAAATCTCAAAATTTTATCCAAATAAAGATGTTTATTCATTTACTGAAACATAAAATCACTAGGCAAAGACTATATATATATATATATATATATATATACCAGTGTACCACATTTAATTATCTATACCAGGGGTCTCCAAACTACAGCCCACGGGCCACATAAGGCCTGCAAGCACCTTCAATCCAGCTCACATAAGTTTCTTTGATTATATGGTAAAATTTTAAAACTATTAAAAAAATATGAAATTTAGTAAATTACTCAAACAGGAAGTTACTACAATATTTATTGCATGAGTTGCTTCTCTTAGAAAGTTCATTACACTACTAAAGTGTCTTTTAAAGAACAAGATTTCTTTTTCATCACAAGAGATAGCCCGCACGGCTTAGTGGAGTTCTGAATGAGGCCTACGGGACTTAGTGGAGATCTCAATGTGGCCCAAAAAGTTTGAAGACCCATGATTGATACCACTAAGAAATCATGAAACGCTAAGATTAAAATTGATAAAAAACATTTTAGTCGTATTCATATTAGATTTACTTTATTATACATAAATAGAACAAAGCTATAATTAAATTGACATAGATGTATTATAAAATCAATTACATTTATATTACACCTAGAACAAGAGGCTATATATTATTTTAAAGATATGGTGGGAAAACATTAAAATATGGTAACTAAAATGTTTAGGCTGTTACATTAATTTATTCTATTTTTCTTATAGATTCATAACAGTAAATATCATGGAAAAGTATTTATTTTGTTTTGTATTATTAAATGAAATTTAAAAATTCAATTAAAATGAATTGAGAACTTATTTATTTTAGTTATACATGTCTGTAACAATACACTCAGTATTTATATTCGATTGAATAAAGTCTATTAGATAGAGCCTCCCCCCCCCCCACTATGCCCTTCGTCTAGTCTACCGAAGGAAACCAATGTAGCTGGAGCTACTGGAACCTTGCAAGAAATTGATTGCTTTTTTTTTTTTCTAACATCATCGAGACTTTGATACCCGGCGTCGATCGCTATCTAAATCAGCTGCTAGATACATGGAAAGATTCGCCTTCAACATAAACCTGGTTATTTTATTTTATTTTTTGGGCTCAATAATTCTACTATGGAACTTCGCCATTATCAATCAAGTACCATTACCAAAGTCTAAATGTTTCACCACAACATTGCTAGAGAACATCTCTTCTAATTTTTTGGAAACTCACAAAAAATTTTTTTTGTTATTATTAATATCATTCGTTGGTACCAATTATCAAACCATAAACATTTTTTTTCTAGAATAATTAATGTCTAAAGTTTTCTTTGTATTTTTATGATTATTATTAATTTTATTCAAGAGGAAATTTTTCTTTATTATTAATTTTGAGTATATAACATCATAATTTATGTATACAGAGCAAGTTCATTTTTATGTTTATATATTGTAATCTCTCAATTCATGACTCAAAGCAAAACATATATTTTTTTTCTCAATTTATAATTAATTTTTTGCTTTCTTTTTTTTTCATATATTATTTTTTTTCAATGATCAACACCTTTTGATGTTTTTTTTTATAATATCACTCCCCCTCCTTCCCACCATCAAAAAAGGCTAAAAAGCAATCGTATGACATAGCTATATGAAACAATGTAATAATATTCATTTTATAATTTATAATGAGCAATATGAAGTAAAAATTAAATTGATATTTTCTGATTTGTAAATTTCAATATTTTTATTTAGTTTTTTGATGATTAATGATAACAAAATTAATAATAAGATATATCATCATAGTTTTTCATAAAAACTGTTCAATAAAACTTATGAAACTACAACAGTTTTACTTTAGTTCACCTAGAACTAAAATAATAATAATAATCCTAAATATATTTTTTTTTAATGGATCTGATAACTGTATTTTAATTTATTTATTACCTGAGATATAAATAGTGGAACACTATTTTGGAAAAAAACATCTGTATATATGATAGTGTGAAATAAACGTTGATTAAGTAATTTCCAACTGAGATTAAACTGTTGTAAATGTTCGACTTCAAGTTGACTTAGAACAGGTGCAATAACATTTGCAGCACTTATAGTTTTATTGTAACGATCAAGCAAACCTATAAGAATACAATACATTAATAACAAAACTAATGAAATAAATTAATTGGTAAAGACTGTGATGACAGTATAGACCACCAAATTAATGGTTTTCCTCTGGTTCAAAAAACATTTATTTTGAAGTAATCTCTCTAATTCAAGAATTCCATTTTGGTTGGAAAAAAGAGTAACCTCCTGTTATAAGGTATGGGAAAGTATGGATTTAGATCAGTCTGTAACTCACTGAAAGTAAAAAGGATTAATCCAGAAAAAAAAAAAACAATTTGGTAACAAATACTTAAAAATTGCAAATTTTTTATTTAACGCCTCTGCTATTGGCTATTAGGCCATTCGGCTCCTTGTAACCCAATATAATTTCATCTTATTGAAATTGTCCAATTTGTTGATTCCAATGCTGGTATCTGTGCCTGCCCATCAAAAAGATTACAGTGACATCTGACAGAGCGGGGCACACTGTGAGGTGCAGGTCGTACATCTCATCTTCCCGGCACAGAAGCGACACAGGGCAAAAATAGCAAGTGGAAAATAATCTAAATCCAGCAATATATTTTCCATAGTCTCCAAAGAATAATATGGTGGGTCAGAATCAATTAACCAATTATTTGACTTAACATACATAAAAAAAACTATAGATAAATAATTCTTTATACACAAGCCTGTTATCATGTGTACATGGGTCTCTAAACAGACAAAAACACATCAGATCTACTATTAATAGTATACAACAAAATTTCTGCGGTTTTAAAGAAAAGATTATTGAACTCTTTACATATTATACTGACCTTGACTTTTGTCCTTTTTGATCAACTCAGAAATTCTAAAAACTAAATTAATAACTTGAATTAACCACTGCAGGTCATTGCGTTCACTAGCTTAATTTTATTTTGGAAAGAGTTCCACTTTATGACCAACATTCAATTCACACTTTTGAGATGGCAATCTGCTTAAGAACTAATTCAACCATTGATGGCAGTATGAAGAGTGTGGTGTGGCAGGCATGACTGGGAGAGACATGACTAAACCAAGTAGAGGGTTATATAGTGGGTGTCTCTCCTTTATGATTTCTCTTTGTCTATAGAACTGTTTTTTTGTTTTTTTTTTTATTCATTATAATATTTATTTACTCATAAATTAATATTAAATTTTAATAAATGAATAATTTATAAAAATTAAATTATTATTACTCTTTGGTTTATTTATTATAGTATTTTTATCACGTAGTAGTTGAAAATATAAAATAAACCCTAAATGTAGAATCCTAATACAAGTTCAACTTAGCTCTGGAGAAGGTAATAAGAACAGCATCACAGGGAAAATGGATAGGTCCATGCTGGAATGGATCATAAAATCCTTGGAAAGGCAGGTGATAATAGCTGTCATTGGAAATAATCAAGAGGACATCGAGAAACTCGCTAAGACCCTGATAAGAGAGGCAGAGCAGATCGGCCTGCAAGTAAATTAAGACAAAACAATATATATGATAATAAGTTGAAAATTCCACCCTAATAACAGGATCAGTAGAAGGAAAATCATTCCCTAGAGTAGAAAAATTTAAATACCTCAGCTCCACAATAACCTCAATGAATGACCAATGAGCAGAAAGAGACCAGCTAACATAAACAGAGCTTTCTTATATCTTTCAAAGGTATTGAAATTACAAAAAATCTCAAATTAAGGGTGCACAATGCTATGATGAAGCCAGTTCTAATATATGGCTGTGAGACCAGGACACTAACCAGCAACCTAGAAAAAAGTGTTGAAAGATCTGAAACAAAAACACTCCACACGATAACTGGAGCGATCTGGGATCAGAGTACTAACTTATGGAGAAGAGAGACCAATAAAGAACTACTTACAGAAACTGGTCAATCAATATCCCATGATATGAAGGGACGGAGGTTAAGATGGGCAGAGCATATAACTCATAGCAATCCATCTCGAAGCCTCTACATAACAATGAATGCCTCAATATAAGGCAAAAGACCACATGGAAGGCCAAAAAGCAGATGGATAGATAGAATCAACATAGATGCAACATAACTGCAGATAAAGGGAAAGAAATATCCCAAGACTGGTAGAGATGGAGCAGGCTTGCTAAGGTGGCAAAAGATTTATGGTCTGTAATGCCAAAACAAAACAAAAATTGAAAAAACAAGCAAAATTAAGTTCGGAAGCAAATGGCAAACTGATACTGTAAATTTGAAAAAGGTACTGACCATGTAAAATACTAGTATAGCACAAGTAGACAGCCCTCTTTGGGTTACTCTTGTGATTCCTGGCTAGAGAAATACTATAATAAATATAAAAAAGTTTACTTAAATGCTATCTAATGACAAATTCAGGTAGCCATCTTATTACACAGTTGGCTTTAATGGGAACAGTTATATATAGAAGGGAAAAAAAGAGAGATTATTAGCCGACAATAAAATAATGTAATCACATCTCATCAAGCAAAATTTATATTAATTTTTAATTCATTAATTCAGGAATTAACCAGAAAAAAATGGAAATTAAATGTGTTAATATTTATATCTCCCAAATATTTTAGTTTCTGATATATTGAAATAACACTAAAACTACTCCTTTAACCAGCTTTAAAATAATTTTTTTTTTTTTCTTTTTTGGCTTTAAGACTTGTAAATGCAAGTCCTATTTTGCCAGTAAAATATTTTTATTTTTATTTTTTCTTCTTCATTAAAAAAAGAGCTAGAAACATGACTACTGGGAAATGACTGTGGGTCACTATTATTGAGATCGACTAAACACACAGATAAGGAAGAAAAGCGCCAACAAAGCATTAGAGAAATTAATGTAATTGTCATGACCCTCTTCACCGTGTGGCTTCCCTTGGGCAACTCAAATGGGGTTCCTTTGTAAATAAAGTAATTTCAATTACTAGGGATAAAATCGTTTTTTCACTCCCTTTCTTTACATTCCTAAGTAAGATCGAGCCTGTCCACACATACATATTGGTTTCCACTAACAAGTGATAAACTTAGGTTTTAGAAATAACAGCCAATCTTCCAGGTGGCACTCTGGAGATTGATAGAGAAACTATAGCTGAAAATGGAAATTAAAATAAAAACAATGATTTGGAGTTTAATAATACATGATTTGTATTTACATGGAATACATTTTATGATCATTAACTTCATAAAATCAATTTCACAAATAATTTATTTGTACCTAGGGAATAATTATATCAACTGCATTTTACCCTTGATCATCATATGATACAAAGGCCATTATTTAATTACTTACCGTATAATGAAACCATGCAGTAAAACTTTAAAAAATTACATTTCAAGATATATTTAAAATTACCTGATATAAATATATGAGGAAGTTGTGAATTATCAGACAATTTATCCAAAAATTGAAGAAGTCGAACTTTAACTTCAATGACGAATTCTTTTACCTGAGCTTCCAATCTTTGATAAAGCTGATGCGGATCACATACATCAAAAAGCCTACAACACCAATAAAAGCAATGATGAGAATGGATAATAATAATAATAATATTAAATTCTTCCATTATTTTACCAAACTCAAATTTTGGCATAAAAATAAAAACAGAAAAACATAATTTTATCAAAAAAAAAAAAAAAATATTGATTAATTTTCACTGTATCCAATAAAACTAAGAACTTAGTTTAAAAAACTAAATGAAAATGCATAAATCAACTGTTTTATTCCTTTTACCATTAAACTTTATGTTATCCTTATCCAAATTTAAAATTAAATTAAATTTAGAGTAAAAATTTAAAGACAATAAACTCCATGTTTGAATGTCATTGAAAAATAAATGTTTTAAAATATATTGTAGCAAATAAAATTAGTTTTAGTAACAGAGATGAGTCATAAAAAATTGATTTCATTTTCTTGGATACTGCAATTCACAGATCAGCATCATTAGTTGATAACATCTAATTAAGACTTATATTACTTTAATACCACACTATACTTAGTGAATCTATATTCAAAATGACCTTGCATTACCTTTGGTTTTATCTCAGCATTCATTTAAACATGACACAACAATTTTATGCAATTATTGGAAAACCTAAGTTTTCTATGGCCAAAATAATCCATTTGGTCCAGGCAACCAAAGCAGATGGTGCTCTTTGTGAACCATTGATTCAGAACTTTAAAGTAACTAATTGCAAATAATGTATTTGTTGTGACTCACTGCTCGTAAACAGAAATTGGAATTAGTTTCAACCAGGGTTTGAAATCAATAATTAAAAAAATCAAATCTGATCAAACTTTTTACAATTAACAGTAATAATAATTCTTGAGTAATACTTTTTAAAATCAGAAATATAAACTTTTTTTGTTATCCTAGGATATATTTTGAGTCTGGAGTAGAGGTGGAGAATATTGTTGTCAACTATTAGTAACAGAAGACCTTTATTTCATAAATTCATTAGAAATTAAATATATATATAAAACAAATATATATATATATATATATATATATATATAGTACCTGCACTATATATATGTGTGTGTAAAAACAGTCGTGGTCATAGAAATTACATCACCCAGTAAAATTTTTATCAAATTTCATTTTATTTACCAGATTGCTATCTGCAAGATCTCTGGATATTTCTTAGCCATATATATATATATATATATATATATATATATATATATATATATATAAATAGGGGGCTGGGGTAGCCTTGCGGGCTAAGGCGCTTGCAATAGGTAATCAAAGTTAAGCAATACCGAGTGTGGCTAGCACTTGGATGGGTAACCGTCCACCAAGGAAAGCAGCGTGCTGCCCGAGATTCTTCCCCCCCATGGGTATGTGAGGCCCGTCGGTCTACGGGAGGCAACTCACATTGACCAGGCATAGGATTGATGACCCTACCCCGTACTTTAAATCGGGAATCAAAGATCTTCTTGATCTGTCGCCAACCAAAAAAAAAAAAAAAAATATATATATATATATATATATATATATATATATATATATATACACAGCCGTGGTCATAGAAACTGCATCACCTATTTTTTTTTATTCTGATGTTGATAACACTGATTCCATTGAATGTTTTTGTTTATCTTTACTTATTAAGGTTACAAGAAAATTTTAACAATGTTTCTTAGTTCAGCTTAAAATAATGTCAGGATAAAAGCTAAATAATAATAAATCAAGCAGGATAAGATAAATAATGATAACCTGTATCAAAAACTGTCCACGTCAAAAAATATTAAAATTGTGATGTTACATGAAGTAAAGGAATTTTCACAAGAAATAGTAACGAGAATAGGGTACCACCAATAAACAGTAGTCATAGTTTTGTAGAAAAAAAAATAGGCACCATGGAGGGAAAGAAAAAAACAAACCAACAATTTAACCGCTTAATGGTGAAATTGATTATAGAATATCATTCCAAAACTGGCTAAGAAATATCCAGAGATCTTGCAGATAGCAATCTGGTAAATAAAATGAAATTTGATAAAATTTTTACTGGGTGATGTAATTTCTATGACTACGACTGTTTATACACACACATATATATATATATAGTGCAGGTACTGTGCTCACAATTAAAGCGATTTCAGAAATATAAAATTAAAAAATGTGTACATTAATAACATATACATACATTTAGATATAGTAAGAATGTAACTTAAAATTTCTTTTATTACGACTATTTTTGTTTATGTATCTCTGAAGATCCTTAGCCCACATTTCTGTCTTTCTATATTATTCTAAAGGGACTCGTCACAGAATAAATAAAGCATTATTATTATTAACATTTAATTTAATTTGTGTGTAAAAGGTTATTTTAATTTTCTGATCAAAATTTAATCATTATTATTTGGGTATAACTGTATCACTCAGTGAGTGATAATTATTTTTAATCAAATCAATAAACGTCAAAGATCGATTTAAATTTTTATTTATAAACTAGGTATGATTTTTAAATAAAAAATAATTATTACATGATTTTGTGGAAAAAATAATTATCGATTTCAAATCCTGGTTTCAACAAGATAATATCTTACCGAGCACTTTATGTTACACGAAAAGATAAACTTCAGAATGGGATAAGATTGAGTTTTATCTCAACTCTGCTGGTAGTACAGTGGTCAGGGTTTAGTACATTTTGACTACCATATACCCCCAAAAATTTATCGTTATCTTCAAGAAAACACCTTCAATGCTTTCGACAAGTTTCTAAATGGAGTAGCAGAATTTTTACCTAAATATTGGTATTGTGAAGAAATCTGACAATTAGCCTCAAGATGGCAAAAAAAAAAAAAAAAACATTTTTACTGTGTGATGCAATTTCTATGACCACGACTGTTTATACACACATGTATATACAGCGCTCACAATTGAGGCGATTTCAATCAGAATCCTTTTTTTAATTTTATGACTCCTCTCATTATATCAGTAAAAAATAAAAGTAGATTGGATGAATACAAAAAGGAAATTAAAGTTTTACTTTAAATCAAGATAATTTCACTAATGGATAAAATATAGACATGCTTAAACCAGGGTAATACTAGCTAGCTTTAGTAATGGAGATAATATTGCATGAAATGAGCACCAAAAAGAGAAGGAAGAAAACTTGACTAAAAGTGCATTTATCTCAGAGAGACATGTTTGTCTGACCTGGGAATATGACAGAACAATAATTACTTACAGTAGCGATTCAGCCAACCTTTGCATATCCCTGAAGATAAAAGAGGGTCCAAGTAAGTAAACTACTCTACTTTTAATTCAAATAAATAACTAATAAATTTGATTCAAAAATATCTTTGAAATATTAATACTACAAATATTGAAATTTGACAGAACTGATAAGTTATACTGTAAATTCATTTATTTGACTGTCTATCAGATATAATGATTATTTACGTTTGTATCTATTCAACTCCCATTCAAATATTTTTAAAAATTACCATTTCAGGAACTTTGTAAGATAGGCAAAATTCGAAACGAATCCGGGCCGAAGACGAATATCGGAACCCAGGGACCGTAACCGCAGCTAACATGTTAATGTTAATGCCTATATACAAATAAACCTGTGAACTTTGTGACTAGTGAAACTCAGTCCCATTTGTTCTTGCTATCAACCCAGTCTCCTCAGACCATCAGAAAGTCTAACCAATTGTGTGAAAAATTAAGAGCCTCTAGGCAACCTGGATTTATATATACCCACATATATTATTACAGAAAGGCAAGAAATCAGTTTTGCACCAAATATAAGCTCCTGTCATGCTCAAATACCATGAATGGGGTACCGTTGGATTCAGAATTTCATGGGGGGTTAGCGAATCGTATTCTCCACTTTTGTTTTTCTTTCTAAAATAAATAAAATCGATACATACATTTTTCTAGGCTTCAATACTGAAACGGTAGTAGGTCTGTAGATCGATACGAGACAAATTGGACCTTGAAGATTTTGATGCGTACAGCAAGACCCGGATAGTTCCTCCGGAACCATAGGATCCTGCGTTTTTAAGCCCAAAAACGTACTATTTTCGAGATAATGTAAGGCATAGGGTTCACATCCATACAGTCTTACGTTAATTGTAGCACTGTCATTGAATACATGTCTCATTTCGTCCACTTGAGGCCTCTATGATCGAGAGATGAGGAGTTTATATTATTTATCGATGGTGTTTTTGATCGGTAAGCCATATCATCGTTAATTCTTCGTCACATCTCAAAATTGAGCCACCAATTTCGAAGGCTTCCTTCTCCTTCAGGTGGGCAAAATAGTCCAATCACCCCGAAAATTCATTCAAACAAGTTATGAAAGAAAACAAACTTTGCGAATAACTAAAAAATTACACACTTTTCCCTTGGTTATGCCCATGATTAAAAAATATTACTAAATTCCCCACAAAAGGAAAAAAAAAATCATTGAAATCGATTAGAAATTTTTTCAATGTTTTTTTTTCATTTTATTATTTATTTTTTCTAATTTTCGATTAATATTCATTAGGAGAGTCCTATTGTAGCCCATTTCATTTGAAAATAACTAGAATAAATAGGTTATGCCTACAATTATATAAAAGATTACTAAATTCCTTACAAAAGGAAACAAAAATCATCGAAATTGGACAATTTTTAGCAAAGATACAGCTAATTGAAACTTGTAGACATGTTGGTTCCAAACATTGATGAAGATTCAAATTAATTTTTGTTTCCTTTGTCGATTATATTTATCGATAAAGTAACAATTGATTTATTTTCTTTTGATACATCGTATTATTTTCTTTTCTTATTAATTTGGAATTTGATAACAATATGCTGGGCAAATTTTTCACACGGGGCTACTAGTTGATATAATCTAAGGACTCCAACAGAATTATAATAATTAGCATCCTTGTTTGTTCACTTAAATATTTTTTAAATAATGCTATGAGAGAAATGATCTTGAATGCCTATGGAAGACTGGTAGTTTTGGTATTATAATGTTTAAAAGAACTAAACATCAAT